GGAGATGGTTTAAATTAAGGTGTTTTAGTACTGAATACTGGTGTTACAAATACTGGTTTTGTCAGTTAGTGCCCTTGTGTTTAGGAATCATTAAGTTAAATAAAGCAACAACACACAAAAGAACCTATTACTGAATGTTTATGCAACTTGGATTTGCAAGGGTCAAAATATGAAAGATCATGTGATTAATACGGAAATTCTCGTCAATAATACTTAGTGAGTACACTCCTTTTCCACTGTGTGCATGCCTCACATGCCCATGCTCAGATGATTTGTCTAGCTTTTGGCTCTGCATCGGTAGGTTGAATTTCCTTGTGACAGCCATGTGATAGCATGAAGACCTAGGACAGGTTCAACCTTTTCTCCAGATTCCTCTTCATCGTAAGAGTTCAGTCCTGTTTGTATGCTTGAAGTCCTGTGTTCGTGCAAGTCTTGTTCAAATGAGCAGCAAATGTCTCTTAGATAAGTGGGAAAAAATCACTTCTAATGGTTTATGCCTCTCTGAGAGTTAGTTTCCCTATGACTGGTGTATCACAGTTGGATACATATGTATTCCTTCACTACTTTACTGCAAGATAAAACACATTAATTTAAATCACTTCCAGTTTTTAAGCTAACTTGTTTTACTTATACATCTTGGCTGGGAGGGCAGTTGCATCTGGTTTAGGAGAACTAGCAGGTGCAAAGTAATTCTTTGAAGCACAGACCTCTTGATTCTGAAGGTCAGTCTGCTTCTCACTGAGCCTACCCTGCAGAAGCCTCTGAGCTGCAGGGTGATCTAAGTAGCAGAACAGAGTGATTGAGCAGTTGAAAGGCTTTTGTTTGGTTTGAGGATGTATGGGATTCATACTTCAAGCTCATAGCTGGTGAATTCAAGACTATGATCAAGAATTTGATCATGAGCTTCCTTTTCAAATTTTTATTGTTTGTAGGTAAAAGAAAATGGCACGGTCAGGTGTACAGTGAAGCATTAATGTTAAACCCAGCATTCTGAAAAGCTGTCTGTGTGTGGTGGTTGACATTCTCAATGATGGACACTTAAGTGTTTGTTATGCTTTTTTGTGGGATTTTTTTTTCTGCTGGTGGTGCCACTTACAAGTCATTCTGTAAAGATTATAGTTATTGAGAAAAACCTCTTTGAAAGTGCTTTGAATGGAGAGGCAACATTCTCGAAGTTCAGACCTATCTGGGTTGGAAAACTCTTGTGAATACTTTCTTAGTTCTGACAATCAAAGGAAATCTTTTTGACCAGTAAAATTCTGATTGGAGAAGGATAGGAGCATCACTTCTTTAGGGAATATTAATATAGTCGGGCGTTTGGAGCCCACTGTAGTTTCACTAGGTTTCTATATAACAATCATCACCTTTAAAGCTGTTTGATTCTAAACAGTTTTGTCAAAGGATCTGCTTATCACTGCCCTTTGTGTCTTTAATTTTGTTTGATCTGAGGGCATTTAGACTTATTGCTACAACTGAGTATATCTTGGAGGTTGTGATTGACTAACACTGTTCTGGTCCAAATTCCTTCCCGCTTCTTACTCATCTCTAATTTAGGATTCCTGCAAAAATAATACAGCATTGAGTCAGGGAGTCTTTCCAAGAACCACTCCCACTGCTCTTAAGAGTAAAAGACCATATAATCACATTGCTCATAGCAGCAAGAATAAAGGATGCCTGGGGCCAGTTCCAGACTTGAGAGACCTGAGTGTTTTCAATATTTTATTAGCACTGTTTGATAACACTGAACTAATAATGTAAAAAGTCATTCCTTGGCCTGAGAACTAACACAGACAAAAATAACATTTTGCTGCTCACTGCAAATTCACAGATGTACCAGTACTGGAAGCAGGGAGAGAGATTGAAAAAAACTCAGGCCAAGAGACAGATTAGGGTTAGCCCTTTTGGTGACAGAATTGTTTCCAATAAGGTAGCAGTGAGTCTGCAACATCTAAAAGAAAAGACTTCGCTAAGGCTGTGGACAAAATACTAATTGAGGCTTGGAGAAATTAGATCTCTCCTTCTTTCATTTACTGAGTTTGTGTCTGAAATATTAATGTGTTGATATGTTAAAATGACACATCTTTGAGTTGTTCAATATTCCAGGTGGGAAGGAAGATCAGGAGGTCTGTAGTCCAAAACCCCACTCACAATGTGCTCACCTCTGAGATCACACTAGAATTGCTGCATTTTTACCTAGTCTATTCTTATTTTTTTGAATAATAATCATCATATACACAATATTTCTGGTATGTCAAATTCTCACATAGCAGTGAGGTATTCCTCTGAAATAACTCTAAAATTTATAGATATATCTATCTTCCCCAAAAGTGTGTCTCTGACTAAAGAGTTCTCTAGTTTCCTTTTAAGATGTTAAATTGTTTTTTGATGTTACGTCATCATGAAGCAGTACTCATTTCTGGCTCTGTGTGTGGAAACAGCAAGATATTTCATTGCTATGATTTTATTTAAAAGAGGAAAACATTGAGGAAACACATTGGCTGGTTTGAAAATCCTGAAGTGTTCTTTGAATAGTGGTTGTGCTGCACTCAGTGCATGCAGAAGGGGGTTAATAGAGTGCTTCTGCAAGGATGCTGCCACTTCCTAGATCTTCTCAGGAGCTGGTGCTTTTCAGCAGGTCTCCTCCATTTTTACATGCATACCTGTCATCTTTTGTCTTAATTTAACTAATAGGGTTTAGCATACCATTTTGCACACCTCCAAGGCCTGCAGTTAATGCCCTGGTCAAAAGAGATTTCTCTTTCTGACTGTAAGAGCAAAATTAGCTTCAAAATGAGTTAACTGTTTTATTTGCATAGCCAATTGGGCAAGTTAAGAGGAGGAGAGTTCCTAGGAGATCTAGCAAAGTTAAAGACTGAAAACCAACTAGCTATATTAGTATAAGAGTGCTGTCTTTGCTGATTTAAGAAGTAGGTATTGCAGTGTTTTTAATACAGCTTCTGTCAGTGAAAGGAAGGGTTTGCATGGTGCTTCATAATTTGTGTATGTTCCTTTTCAATACTGCCTAGTGAATATCTGTATTTCCATACCTAAATAAACAAGGGATATATCTGAGTCCTTTATCCTTTATACTGCATTAATATAGTAGTGTCTGTTAAACCATACAAAATTCTTCTTATGAAGATTTGGGCTTGTGCTGTAGCTACAATATTGATAACAAAACAGCATCTTTTTTTTTTCAAACATATTTTCTGCATCCCAAGTAGTACCTCCTGGTAGTTACAGAACTGACCTTCTGTTACCTCCTGTTAATGCTAAAAAATCAGTATGAGTTCAGAAGTTAGATTTGCCCCCCTTGATTTGCATTAACAAAACTGTGTTTCACTTTTTAAAGATGGTAATTATGTCACTGCTGATGTCATGGTCAGTAGTGGACTTATGTTCTCAAAGGGATTTTATCATATTGCTGCTGTTTGGGAAAGCAAAGGAGGATAAATCTCCATATTTGAGTAAAACAATACAGAAGCTTGCAAATAGAAAATAAATTGTTACTTTTATACCATAATCAAACTTTAAATTCTGAAGGGGTGTCATTTTCAGACTACTGTGAATGCACTTTACTTGTGTGAACTGTGTTTTCCCCAAGATATTTTTGCTTTTGAGACTAGAGATGTTAAGCATCTTCTTTCCTTTCTTTGACAGGAAATTCTGGTGATTAAAGATCATGACAACCATAGAGGAACTGGCCCACCAAATTATTGAACAGCAAATGGGAGAGGTACATAAATTTTGAGTCCTGTTTACGAGAAAATAAATAATAAAATGTACAGTCTGATAAGTAAAAATCAAAATCGCAAGGAATAAAGTTTTAGTACAGCCGAAGCTTCGGGACACTCTCCCCTGGAAGGCTAGGAGAACTTAGTATGTCTGTTTAAAAATTATGCTGCGAAGTCTTTTTTGCCAAAGTTTGCCCCACAGAAATTGGTTAAGAAAAACCTAGCAGTGTTCCCAGTAAGTGACTCGCTGTTCAGCATTTCTCTTTGGGCCTGTAGTAGTTTTCAAAGAGCTATCTGGTTGTATATTTATTGCTTTGCTCACTTCCAGTTACTAAAGTCAGTAAATAGCTTTTACTTGCAACTATGCAATTGCTTCAGTTGTCATTTTTGTTTTTGCTAGTAAAGGTTTGCCATGCTCTTCAGTGTAAGATATTTGCTGGTGTTTGGCACATGTGGAAAGGAAGATGAAACTCTTGTTTCTTCAGTCTTCTAGTTTTCATTCCCTGTAACCTGCATGCAGAATTTGTGTACTCCAGCCAGAGAACTCCCAGAGATGCACAGACAGTTTGGGAGTGTGGATATGATTATACATACTTATGGTTTCAGCATAGCATAGTCTATTTAAAATTAGCACCACTTAAGTAAATTACTGCCTCTATCTAATTTAATCTTAAATAAATGGTATTTTTTAGCTTGAAATATCCACTCTTGGTTTCTTGTCTTGAAACTAAAATGGTTTGAGAAGTCATAGACTTCTCAAGTCATTTTAGCTCCTCTCAGTCTTGATTTCAGATAGAAAGGTTGGAGTGGTGGGCAGGATGGTTGATTCTATTCTGAATAAATTTTTACAGCTTTTATTGTTATAGCGTCTGAGTGTTGCTAAGGCTATCTCAAAGGACATAAGTGATTTATGTGATGTATGGTGTTTTCTTTTTATTACCTGTCCTCTGTTGACCAGATTGCATTTCTAGTGTAGTTCTGTTTCGGTAATAAAATTCCTTGTGGAGGTCTAAACAGGGCTGGATTTCCTGGTTTAATTCTTTGCTTTTTGAAGGTACAAGGCTAGTCAAAGCTAGCTGAAGTGTACACCCACTGAGAAAAGAGGATGGTGTTAAGCCTCTGTGAGGGTTGTTTCTCAATTTCATAATGTGATCCCATGAGACACTGAGCTGACTTAGTGTCTCAGTGCCATGGGAGAGGGAGGGTCCTTTTTCTGTTTCTTACCTTAATTCATTTCCACACTAACAGCAAGTTAGTCACTCAGCCAGAACAAGTGGAAGATGGGTCTGAGAAGGCTCTAATGGGTACCAGAGCCAGCATAAAGAGTATGAGTGGTATCCAAAGAAGGCAGCAGAGAAGACAGAGGGAGTGAAGGTGCGATGCTGCAGAGAGCTGTTGGCTGTTGCTCATGGTGAAATTCATAGAAATTGCATCTTAACAGCTTTCATGGCTGTTGTTTTGTTCAGCAGTGTAGATTAGGATTTGTCCGTTAGCAAGGTTTTACTGTGCCTGAGACCGTCACACCGTAGTTGGCGGCAGTGCAGCTTAAGCATTCCCCAGTCCTCGCTGAGCCGCTTACTCTCACACTATGCCAGTCTGGCTCATGTAAGCTCTGTGTGGTGGGCAAAACTAGGAAAAAACATCATTTACAGGATGGTGGAAGAAGGTCATCAGTGTTCTGACCAGGTGCAGCCCAACCTGGCACACGGTTAGAAGGACTGAAAAGCATCACCCGGGGCAGTGCAAGGTGGGACTCCCTAAGCCAAAATTACTGTCCAAGGTGCCGTGCAGGAGTGCACTGCCTGAAAGGTGGAATCAGCAAGGAGAGTGTTCTCACAGGGGCATTCGTGAAGGAGCTTACATTCCTGTCTGCCTACAGGCTGTAATTGCTTGGTGGTGTTCTTTGTCAGTGAAAGCATTAAAAAATCGTAGTTTAAGATTTGTGGAACTTCAGCAGTATTTTTGCTAGCATTTGTAATTCTCTTGAATATTGCAGTAGTTTTAATTGAATTTACAAGAAAAGATTACATTAGTCGGACATGAAAGGAAAAATACAGGTGTTTCCATTCTGAGGAGAATGGAAAATGCTCCTGTATCTCATTGAAATAAGTGTTCTGTGACATAGGTTTCGATTTCTTTATAATATTGTTGTTCATGAAGCATCGTAAATCCTAGAATTGTCACAAATGATTTTGCAGTCATGTACCCAAACATGTTTTTGTTAATTGAGGGCTCTTTGCATAAAAGCAAAACATTAAAATACAGTATAACCCTGCCTACATGGGGCATTGCACAATGGTTATCTTTCCTCAGGTTCTGCCATCTGCTAATTGTCTTTGCTCAGTGCGAGGTAATTCATATTTCTACGTCAAGATCACATTCTTGTGTTCATGTAGGGAAGTTACGTGCCAAGAACCTGCAGCCCTGCTCTCTGTAGTTTGGTTGGGTACACTAAGTATGTGGTAGTTTGTTTTCACAGTCCTGCCAGTTTACTGTAGCAGAGGAAAGCTACATACTTGTTGAAACAGTCTGTCACACATACACAAAGTTTTTAGCAAATATTGTGGGTTTTCCTAGCAGTATACTTTTAACTGCAATACAAAAACGATTCTGTATAGAATTAAAACTGTCAAGGTGACATTTTGTGGGGTTAAAGAGCAGTTTTACCTTACACAAAGGTAGATCATGTAGATCATGACATTTTAAGGGAACAAATGTAAAACAGTCTTGTAATATGTAGCTTATTTTGTAAAGCAAATATAAATGTACATGAAACTTCAATTGCCTCTAAGTCACTACATGTACATGTCATTTTGAAAGGGTGATGCAGAATTTTAGTGCTTGACAGTGTATCTCTCAAACTGAAAATGCTGCTGTATCGTGATCACTTCTTTGTCCTCTACTTAAGCAAAGAAGTGGATGAATTGTTTGACTATGGAAAGTACTAGTACTCATAAAAATCAGGTATTTTTAGAATGCAGCATTCAGAAGTGACTCGGGCAGTAGTTTGACAGGCATTTCTTTTGATGGTGCTGGCAGTTGAAGCAATCTCCCCAGCAGCTTAATCCCACTCTCTCATTTGTTCTGATGTGACTGCTTGTAAGTATCATGGAGATGTGGATTGAAGGTTTGATCTGTGCTAAGAATAGCCTTTGTCTGTCTGTTTGCTGGGCTGCTTTTCAACCTGCACCAGTGTCCTATTCCACATCACCCAACGACTAACCAGCCAGTTCGACCTACCAAACTGGAGGGGTAAGAGCAGGTAGATTTAAGAGTGGCACCAGACATAATGCCTTTTTGGGTAAAATTTCAAGAGCAATTTAGGCTGATGGGAGCTTGTGTTTCTGCTGCTCCTTCTGCTTCTCATACTGACCTCCAGCTGCATGTTCTGGCCTGCTTTCTCCTGGTGGTACTAGCACATCCGTGGTGGTGTGGTTGCAAAATCAGGAAGCTGATCGAGGAGGAACAAAAAAAGCTCACAACCTGTTAGGAAACAGTGCCTTTACTACACTACAGATATATATTCTCTGTATTCATTGTAGGGGGCAGAGAGGGAATGAGGTGCAGAGGAGTATTTCTATAATGGTGTAACTACTGGAAATGATAATTAGCACAGATTTGGAGGATGTTGCAGGCAGAGTTTGTGAACTGCAAGAAGGTTGTGGAGTTACTTGGGAATTTAAGACAAAAATTTCAGTTTGAAGGTATCTTTAAACTCTGTGCAGAGGAGCTTCCTTTGTACTACAAGAAGTCCAGCCTTTCAGATCAAGCCTCTGCAAATAGCTTCTGTACTTCTTCATTTTTATTGGCAAGTAATGTAATGAAGAATACCTTCTCCCATGTGTGTACCTTCGGCTGTAGGATGTGAAGAATTTTAAAAATACTGATAATTGTTAAAACACTTCCATGAATTGTATCTGAGGGCATTCACACAGAGATTTAAATTTAAGATACTCTGCTTGCCAACTTCATGTGATTCATTAATTTTCTCTTTTTTGGTAGTTCCCCAGTACAGAGATTTTGTTTTCTGTTTTTACTGCTTTGACAGAAAAACAGAACAGAAAAGGCCAATTGCTGTGTTTCCACGCCAAAAATTATTTTGTCACTTTCAGTAAGACATTAAAGTAATTTTGTGCAAATGTAGTACAGCTATGATGAAAAGTATTGTGACTCATGAACATCAACAGTAATAAATACTCCGTTTGATTGACTTACATGGACTTGTCAACAATGGTTTTACTTAAGATGTTTCTAAATTTCACATTGGAAGGTATTTCAAAATGGATTTAAAACAGAATTTTCTAACTAGCAAAATTATGCTGTTAAATTAGATTACAAGCATTTGCATTCCTTATATAATAAGAGTGTCACACTTTCCCTAGCCTTGTTCAGAGAAATCAGAGGTTGGTGAACCCTTAAGGTTTAATCCATTAAGGTAGTGGAACCATCCTTAAGATGGTATATCCCTTGTCAGTCCATTACATTTGTTTCTTCCTTCTAGGTTACACATTCCCAGGGAGCTGTTACACAAAGACTAATGGATGGGACACCACAACGAATACAGATTGTCCCTGCAGATTCAGGCCTCTCTCTATCACAGCGCATACAGGTATGCTTCATCTGGTACATTTCAAAAGCAGAGATGAGCTGTTTGCTTCTGCCAGTTTTCACATGCAGTTCTGTTTTATTTACATCATGTTACTTGCTTTAATGTAAATCTTCAGCCCTGGGTGGCAGGGTCCCAGGAATAAAACATCATTCCAATCATCCCCTTTTTTTTTCTTCTGAGAATCTTAACATGACAAAAAATTTTAATCACGGCAGAAAAAATACTTTTTCCAATACTGTAATGATATTGTTCTTTGAGAGTTCAATATCTTGTAGATTTGCTAATTCAGCTGCAAAGGTTGGAGCATTTCTACATTTTAGAGCAGGATGAGACTGAAATACTGCACTGTGTCATTGATCCAAGTCAGGACAAAGTGCAAGGATACGTGATGTCTGAGAAGGATACTGGTTTTTGGTTGTCCCAACGCACATTACATGTCCTGGTGTTATAATCCATAGCCTGAACAGATAATAATCTCCAATTCAGGTGAGGGTATGAAGTTTTTGGCAATGGACACAGTTAAATCAACATAGATATGTATATGGAAATAGGAGGATTTGGGGAATGGAATTTTCAATTCTATCCATTACAAGTCAGTGCAAGTCCTTGCAAACATTTTATTTTTAAATTTCATCTTAGAGAAAAATATCAAATTCAGAATAAATTTTAAGAAATTCTCACATATATCTTACTCATGCAAAAATCCACTTTTAACCAGGTGGCTGCTAGTATAATCTTGGCTGCTTTTTCTTCTGCCAGCTTCACTCTTCAATGTCGTCTGCTGTTTTTTTCCTGTTTGGGTGCATTGCATTCAAGCTTTCAACCTTCCAAGGCTCTTCACTACCACCCCCTGTGCATAACAGGGTTTTTTAGTTTTATTACCCCACACCTGTGCTCAAGTCATAGTACCAGTCCTACCTATCTAGTAGATCTTTATTCTTTCATCTACCTCCACTCCTTTTCTACACTTGTGTACACATTTACCTTTATTAACTAATTTATGTTAATCAATTAACCACCATCTCTTTACCCTCAGTTTTCGTTGTCAATACCTCTATGCTGTCATATTGCTGTAGTGTGAAGTCATTTTGGTATCATTTCAGCCTCAGGATCTGAATGGGGGATGACAACATACCAGCCCCTGAGCCCTTATGTTGAACAGTGCTGTTGTTTCCCAGCCAGTAGCAGCCTCCTAACCCTTCTGTGCCAGCGTTTTTGTGGGTGAAGACCTGCTCTTGGTTAGGCACTGCAAACAGGAGAAAGAGAGAATAAGTGTATTTCTAGGGACAGGGACCTTTACATGGTTTTTCAGTGTCTTATGTGGCTGGAAGATCACTTATTTCTAACCCAGCTGCTTTGTCCCTTGTCTTTTTTCATCGTGCTCATTAATTCTGTCTTCAAAATGGATGGTAAGCACTTTGGTGGTTATCTCTTGATATGTGTGGAGCAACACTTGGTCAGATGGCATCATTTCTGCAACAGACATGTACAAACATGTCACCAGCATCAAACTGAGCAATGAAAACTTTCCTTGAAGAAGAATTTGTGTGAAGAGTTAAGTAGTTTGTAGGAAGAAACGCATTTTAGTGAAATGTTTGAAATAAATGTTTGATTGATTTTATCTTTTCAATCAATTTTTTTTTCTTTATTATTGCTAAATGCACATCATGGTGTGATAAATCTTGAAATACAAAACCCTCAGTAAAATGTTCTTAAAAACATGTTTCATTAGTCACCCCTTTTTAGGGAGTGCTAACGTTTCTCTGGGAGAAAAGCTGAATGTCACGTTTGTTAAATCGGCACTTCTGCTCAAAAACTGCTGTTGTTTAGAACAGATGGATTAGTCCTCTGTGCTTAGACACTTTCTAAAATAGGAATAAAGAATTACTGAGGTGTTTTAATTTATTAAAATGATGTTCAAATGGAACTCAAGACTTGTTAACAGGCAAGGCTTAAAAGCAATGCAGGAAAATAATACCCTCCATTATCATCAGGGTGCTTAAATGAAGTACATGAGGGAAGTGTATTTTTTAAGCACTCAATCCTGAATCGATATATTCCTGTTCTTTAACATCATCATTTTGGCAATATTGAGTTTCAGGTTATTAAGAAACATAATGTGTTGTCACTGAGCCCTGATGGATTCCCTTGAGAAGATGAGTGGTTTTCCCTCTGATTATATTTATCTTTTATCTCAATGTTTAGGTATTTTAAGCTGTTATACTTTGGTGAACTGCTCCACTTTTCAGAGTTCCCATTGCCTTTTGGGTGGAGTTCTGAAGGCCATAAGAGGTCAGGTGCAGACAGAAGTTACTTTATTGTTTAAACTGCTCTCTCTTATGCCCCTGTCAGTTGTCAAATGCTTGACAGCTGCAGAAACCATTTGTGCAGATTGAATAGCTTTGTATGGATATTAACCTAACACTATACCTGCTGTATCATGTGGGGAAAACTACCTGGGCATCCTCCTAGAGTTGCAGGAACCTATTGAAAGAGTTTGGACACTCTGAATGGTGTGAAGTAGCAATGGTTCTTCTGCCTACTGTTCTGCAAATATTATATATATATATTTATAGCTGGACTACAATAGGAAGAAGGACAATTTATTATATATATCCCAAAATGACTTCAGCTGTGGCTGAAATTTTTAGCTTAACTGTTTGGTATGTGCTGGGTTTTGAGTATAATTTATATAAACCTGACTAGATCAAGTGTATGCCTTTTTTATGTATACATAGTTGTGCTCTTAAGATTTTGATAGGGAAGCAGATTTTATATAAAAGTGTCCTTAAAAGAGCAGGTCTCGAAATTCAAGAAACAGCACAGTATTGTGTGTTTGGCTTTTGTACATGCAGGTTATCCTCAACAGAGTGCATACCTTGGATTGATCCTAATCCCAGTAAAGTAGATGTGTTTGGAGAGAAGGGGAATGGAACATCAGCTACTTTGGAAATAGCCAGAAATGTCACAGGAGAAAGAAAGATTGTAAATGAAGGAAAACAGAACGGAAGGAGAAAGTTAAGTAAAGAAGGAAATTAAAAGGGCGAGCAAGTTTGCCTTCTAAAGGCTACAGAGCCAACATAAAGGAATTCAAAGGGGAAATAAGGGACTGCTGTAGCCATTTGTGGTCCCCGACATGGATGTCTGAGAAAACTGAATGAAAAATAAATCATGTTGAGAATTATTGTGGGGTTTTTTGCATTGTCTTCTCACCCTACACCCCAAATCTCATGATAATTTACCTTTAGCGTCTGGAATTTTATCATCTTACCTGGGCTTCTCTCTTAGATAAGCTTCTCTTTTGCAGAGAAAAAAAAAATAAATTGATGCATTAAACTGTTCATGGCAAAAAGCCACCTGAAGGAAACACATTTGTGTATTTTGAAACTCATGGTTTCTGAATATTTGAAGGTGTCAATATTGCTTTATAACTGCTGAAATTAGATACTCATCACTGCTTATCTTTTTAAAATGTGAACTATATGCAGGTTTTTGAAAGAAATAAAAGTATATTGAGAATTTACAGAAAGTTATAAGCCTGTTGTGAAGGTACAATGGCAAAGTTGATAAAGACTGGTATGAAATTGCCTCACTCTTTGTGCTGTGGTTATCCATTTAGGAAATAAAATGAGTATTCCCACCCCAGTTACATGGAACTAGTTATGATAAGAGTTAAACCATGAAATAAATAATTTAATCTGTAATAAGTACTACATAAATGTTAGGGATGAATATAAGTGTTTGATTATAGGTTAAAAAAGGAAAGTTACTAGGAACTATTTTATTGATCTGTAATTCATAATACTTTGCAGGAAACAGTCTTAGTAGATGTTTCTCCTTAGTCTCCAGAATAAGCCAGGCAGTTTTCCATATATGCATTTTGATATAGAAATGAAGTGACTAAAAGGGAGATTTGTAATGGAGTATTTTCAGAATCTTGATTATTTTCTCTGAGGGTTATAATCTTTCCACAAAGCAGAAAATGGAGGATTCTTTAATAGCATTCCTCTGTATTTGTGCTTGAAAATAGGGATAAAATAAAAAAACCAGCCTGTAGGTCTGTCCTTGATTATGAAAAACATGAAAATCAGTTTTTCTTTAAAAAAAACCCCCAAAATAGAAAAACAAAAACAAATGGCAGGGAGAGAGATTCTGTTTTATTTATTTCATTTAGAAATGTATGTGTAAAAAAAATAAAGGTCCCCACAAAATGAAGCCTAAAATGTATATACAGGTGCAACAAGATTATTGTTTTTCTTGCTGTTTGATGCTTACTTTTTTTACTTGGAAGTCTACATTTGTGGTTTTAATAACGTTTTTGTTAAGCAACCAAACCTGGGAGGTGCTGAGCACTTCACATGGTATGCAGTGTATTCAAGAGTTCAGATTTCTCATAACCTGATGAGTCGTAGGGCTGAGCTACAGACATACCTTGGATTCTGGCTGCTAGAATTGTCAGGAGTTTCAGCAGTGTTGTAGAAGCACAGGCCAGTTGTAAAACTTGAGTACCAACTCAGGTTTTGGCTCCAAACACGCCTGATTGAAATGTGTTTCAAATACTGTGGAAGTCCAAGGTTTTGCTGGAGTTTAATTCACTCTTGTGATGAGGGGGAGATGATCCTACTTCACAGATGTCAGAGGCAAAATTCCCCTTTTCCTCCAGTGCCCAAATTGGGCCCAAAGGTTAAATTAAACTACCATAACAATTTGAGATAAATGTATTATTAGATTGTCACAGATCAGCAGACGGGCCAGAAGATTCAGATTGTTACAGCACTTGATCAGAGCTCAGCAGGCAAGCAGTTCATCTTAACAAATCATGATGGCTCTACCCCAAGCAAGGTGATCCTTGCCAGACAAGATTCCACTCCAGGAAAAGTTATCCTAGCAACTCCAGATGCTGCAGGTGTCAACCAACTGTTTTTTGCATCCCCTGATATATCTTCACAACACATCCAGGTAGATAATACACTTTATTTCATAATTTTCATTCAAATGGGATAAGAAGAGATGTTTTGTTTTCAAATGTCTGTCTGGGTTCTTCCTTTTTCTTTTTAAAGGTATAATTTTCCTTGCACTAAGACTCAGCATGGATACTTAGGAAGTTTTTTAGTACATTCATTGCTTTTAAAATTTATACACAGACTGATGACATTGGGAAGAATACAGTTATTTTTATTGTGATTTTCAGATCCTGCCATACCAACAGTCCTTCTTTATTTCTGCTTGTTGACTCTCCATCTGTTTTCATGTATTGTTGAAAAACATTATTTTCTCCATTGTCTTTCTCACTTGAGATTTCCTTATGCTTGTTTTTCTTTTTTGTGCGCTGTGGTAACTGCTGTTCAGCTGTGTGAATTGTACTCCACAGTGGTTGCTCAGACTGTTTAGTAGGAGTGCACATTACTCTGTGGGGATGGGAAAATAGCACTAATGATTTTGGGTTTACTAATGTGAGATTGTAGCTAGCCAGGGTTCTAATTCCCTAAACTGGGCCCCAGTGCACCTTACTCCCATGCATGTTGTATGTGTCACTACCTTAGTCGTCATGCTCCATCTTCCAAGCTTTCTGTCCCATATCCTCAGCCTGGCAAGGATGGGATGGCACTGATGTGAAGAACGTGGAAAACACGCACAGAAGATGAGATGTGAGCACCTTCAGCATGAAGTTGGATATCACTGCACTCCAGCTGAAGTGTGGTTGCTGCATCTAGTTCACCCACACACATCTGTGCTGCTGTTAGAGCACATCAGTGGGGTAGGCCAGGCAACGCTGGGATAGCTACAGGTCATCTAGTCCAGTATCTTGCACCCAAATGATGGCCAGAAACAGCTGCTTGAGGAAAATTATTAAAAACTGTACAAGTAAATTATGATCCTTCTGAGCATATCCTTTCACTTCCATTAGCTGATGATACAGAGCACCCTCCTGATTTGGAGACTGCAGCAAGACCACCATATGTGATAGCTGCAACTGAAGTTAAACAACCTTTCTTTGTTTTGTGTGTAGACCATATATGCTTTGGTCTACATAATAATGCCCTGTAGTGTTGTATGGTGTGCAGAGAATACTGTAGTTGATTTGATCTTCTGAGAGAAGAATTTAATCAAGTGTCTCTTGCACTGCAAGAAACAGCTATTAAGGATTGTGAGTCTTTTATAAATCACTGCTATATCCTCTTCCAAGTAATCTCTTTTCGGCTGAAAACTCCTAATCTGTTTAGTTTGTGTTTCTGTGAGCCAGTCCACTACTCTGATTCACTATCTACATGTCATGTAAACTTGAAAGATATCTCTGTATCATATATTAGTTTTATTTTTGAAACAGATCTTTGCAAATGGACATCCAAGGTCCTTGCTCCAAAGAATTTGATTGCTGTGAATAGGGGAGCAGTAGCAAAAGCCAATCCTATTGAGGGGCATTAAAGCATCTTTAGTGTCATCATACACTTTGTATTTTAGGTTAAACCTCAACAAGAAAATAAACCAGTGGGACATGACTTGAAGTAATCCATATACTTTTCAAAGACAGCTGAAGAGATGGGAAGTGTGCCACAGTGATTTAAAAGGCAAATTTCAGGAGCAAAGGAAATGTGGACAAAAAAAATTGAAAGCAGTAGTTCTGATTGTATAGTTCAGGTAAAATAGGTTAGTTTGAGAGGCAAATTCGGTTAAATTACACTGTTTTCAGCTAATATGTATGGGTAGAGAGTGCCTTTTTCCACTTAAAAGTTCGTGAAATACAGAGTATCGTTCATGTGTTGTTCACCTGCATCCTCTTTGGGATCTTTTGTATTTTTCTCCCTTAAACAATCTTTTCATCTGCAATTTCACCTGTTTTCTTCTTCTTCTGTAGCCTTCACTTGAAATGCTCATTCATTTGTTATAAAAAACCCTCTGCATTGTATCTTATCTTTACATTGGCCCGTTTGGCAAGATCTTTTGTCTCATCATCTATTTTACCTTCAGTGGCTCTTCTTCATGTTAATAATCAATTTTTATTCTCCATGTTCAAGGTCAGTTAATGAGTTCTCTGAGTCTGGGATTTTTATGGGTCTGATTCTGTAGTCCTTCCTTACGTGGAACTTCCTATTTCAGTGCAGGTTCCATTTATGGAAGGACTTAGAATTTGTTTATATATATCTTATATAACATCATGGAAATGCAAAAAGTTAATACTAGAAATTAGGAAGGAACAAAAGGTTAATATTCTCTTCAATCATCAATCTTATTTTTCTTAAAAAGATGTTCTATTAAAAGAAAACTTGAGATGAAACTCTGTTATTAACAAAAGGCTAACTAGAAAGCAGTATGCTTGTTAAGCTTTCCCTTATGTATCATCTACACTATCTTCTAAACTTCCTAAAAAAAGTGATTTCTTAATTTATTTACCTTTTCATCAGAGGTTCTGTTCTGAATATGTGAAGCAAGAATGAGAGAGACTGGCTTCCCATTAAGACTAGCTAAAAAACTCTTGAAACTTCTAAACTATATTCTGTTTTTAATGGGAAATTCTGCTTTTTTTCTACTTTACATAATTGTCAAGATGATGTTTGGTTGTTACTCATGATTTGTGTTTTCCTTTTTTAAATGGAATTTTTGCTGTGATTTATTTATGTTGCAGTGGGATATAGTTTTCAAAGATGAAATGGAAGGCTCTAGTGCCTACCCTGTAGTGCTGGGAATCTAGTCTTATGTGCTTATTGAAGCTTAACAGGTACCAGAGATAAATGAATGAGACAAGAATACTCTTAACTGTTACCGAAAGCCAAACAATATACCAGTTGATAGTTCATGTTAGTGTTCACAGTGTGTCTTCTGTTGGTCCAGTACTTTATGAAAAAAGGAGTAAATAAACCTGAGTGTAGACACACAGTAGCCTTTATAAGGGATTATTTTGTTTCATCTGTTTAATGCTTCAGTCTCTTTTGTACTATGGACAAGTCATTAGGATATAAATATAAAATTGAACTAAAGGTAAGAATATGCAGATGATATATGTTTTTCAAAATGTCAGTACACATTGCAGAAGTAGTAGTTAGGTAAATGAAATCTTGAGTTCTTATCCGAAGTATTACAAGTAAAATACACGTTTCCCCCTGAAAAGGACCAGAGTGGCATGGCAGGCAGCTCCTTCATGTCTCTGAAGACTGTAAAATGTAGTCAAGAAAACGTTAGAGAAAAACCACATATATTTTGCTCTTTCTAGGTGCTGAGAAAAAAAATAATTAAATTCTTTCACACTTTTTTTTCCAGATTTTAACAGACAACTCCCCCAATGAACAGGGCTTAAATAAAGTGTTTGATCTGTGTGTGGTATGTGGAGACAAGGCATCAGGTATTTTTTCTTTCTCTTTTTTCTATTTCAAGGTGATACAATTACATAAAAGCCGTTTAAAATTATTCTGAAGCTATGTAACAGTTTGTATGCATATACAGATACATATATAGCATATATGCAGATAAGGATTCTCTTTCAGTGGAGTATTACACTAAATGGTACTCTGGTATCCAAGGGTGGTGAGATTTGTTGTTGTACATAGAATATCCTGTGTTGGAAGGCACCCACAAGGATCATCAAGTCCAGCTCCTGGCCCCGCACAGGACATCCTCAGCAATCACACCACGTGCCTGAGAGCATTGTCCAAACATTTCTCAAACTCTGCCAGGCTTGGTGCTGTGACCACTTCCCTGGGGAGCTGTTTCAGTGCCCAAACACCCTCTGGGTGAAGAACATTTCCCAATATCTAACCTAAACCTCCCCTAATGGCAGGTTAATGCCATTCCCTTGGGTCCTGTCACCAGAGGGAGGAAGGTGCAGACTGCTGTGGGGTCTCCTCTCAGCAGGGAGCAAACTTCCTAAAAGTAAAACCATTTAAAAGTTTACTTTTATGGCAGAGTTTAGCATTAAAAAATACAGTTCCTGGAGCTCTAAATGCATGTCAGGCTTCACCCATCTCAAGGAAATCTCCAACAAACTTAAGGCAAAGATCTGATTGGTCTGCTCCAATTGGGAAAATTTCTCTGAGTCCCGAGTGGAGGGGCTGGAGTCTCCCCTGAGGGGCTGGAGTTGTTCCTCCTGTCCTTGCCCTGGAACTGCAGCTGCAGGTTCTGGGGAGCATCCCGTCAAAGAGTGGTGACGATGTGGCCCTGGTGCTTTGCAGAATGAATATTCACAATCCAATTGCTGTTGAAATGTTTCACATATTGTTCTTAATGCACATGATGCTTGAGAAATTTCACATTTTAGTGTGGTAAAAAGTTTGTGATAAAGGAATCTAGAAAATCTGCCAGAATTTCTAGAAACTTCAGGCAGATGAGACTGATATATCTAAAAAAATGTGAGGAGTGAGGTAAGAATCTAAAAATACATTTTCTCTTAAATTAGGTCACACTTGACATTTTTTTCTGTAATGTGCCCTAGATTCATGAATTAAAGTTGTTGTAATTGCCTTGATCAAAACGAATACTTTTCAGTAATTTTTATCTTTTATGCAAAATCAAAACAATTTTCTTCTAAAAATAATTTTTAAACTTTCTGTAGTATATCCTAGAAATTTTTATATGCAGAAAATTCACAGAAGAAATGTTTATTAAAAGAAAATTTGTGGCTATTCTAGATAATTCTCTCACTGAAGTTTTACTGAGAGAAGAACTAAGGATGTGCCATTATCCTGTTAGGAGAATGAAAGGTGAAAGTAAAGCTTTGAAGTGGTTGCTCACTGCTGTCAGATGCCATGTTTGCACTTTCCATGGTTCCATTTGATTCAATGCATACCTTTTTGACAGCTGATTTTGTAATGAGCATTAACAGGGCTTGTCTGTAGGGACAGTTTGAAAAAACTGCCAGAGAATGTTTACATTAAGACAGTTTTTGTGTGTTCTTGCTAACCTGTTTTGTTAGACTTTTTTTTTAATGCTACTGTCAACAGATAAGGAAATAATTTAATGAGCAACTTGCCTGTTTGTAAAATCTATCCTGTTTAAGTGCTTTGAACTAACAAAATAGTTCACTTGCTTTTTCATGTTGCTTTAAAGCCCTGATGTATTTTACAGTCTGTAACTCATGGGGAAAAAGTGTGGGTTTTTTCTGGGTGAAATAGCAAATACTTTGTTGTTAATAAATCTAAGCACTGAAAATGGAATATTATGCTGTGAAATTAATGTCATGATTGATGTTGTTTTGTAACTAGGCCGTCACTATGGAGCAGTAACTTGTGAGGGGTGCAAAGGATTCTTCAAAAGGAGTATCCGGAAGAACTTGGTTTATTCGTGCCGGGGAGCAAAAGATTGTGTGATTAACAAACACCACCGGAACCGCTGTCAGTACTGCAGGCTGCAGAGATGCATTGCCTTCGGCATGAAACAAGATTGTGAGTCGGAATAAGAGCAAATTGTTTTAGATGAATCATTGTATCTTTTTCCTTTAAAGCATTGTACAAGTTTGGTGTATCAGAAATCTGAAATGTTCTGCTTGACAAACTTAATAAGCACATTGCATGTGGTGAAAACGAATGAATTGTTATTCCTAAGTGCCAAGTGTCAGGCATGGCTCCATCCTCACTTTTTTTACATATGCAGTTCATTTTTTCTATGCATAAATTAAGCTCCTGAATGTTTTAAATTCTTCTACCTTCTCGGCAATTTTTCCACAGCTGAGATTACTGACAATTGCTGGTCACCTTTGACAAAGCTCTGCAGAAACAGTTATTCACAAAGCAGAGACCCATAGTGATCTGAAGTTCAGTTCTTTCTGATTCCTTCAGCTTCCAAGTTCGTTTTTAGCTTTCCATATTCATCCATGAGATGATATGATATTGCAATACCACAGCAGTGTCAGAATAGTAAATACACAGAAAATTAAGCAATATACAAATTCTGCAGCCCCCGTACTGTGATGCTATTGCAGTATATCTAGTATTGGTGCTCTGCTCTCTGTCATCCAGCTCTTATTTTACTGCCCTCTTAAGCTCTTACTTTACTGACCCTCTAGAGCCTCTGTGGACATTTTCCTCCTTACAGCCCTGCTCCTGTCAGGAGAAACCAGTAACACTTTTCCAGCACAGAGGAAATTAATTCAGAAAGGGAGGAAAAGCTGAGGCAGTGAAAGTGAATCTTTACCCACTAGTTCAGCTGTGCTTAGCCCCTCCACAGAGGACTTTTCAGTCACTGGGGTTAGGGATCAGAAGGCAGGAGAAGAATCTCTGGGTTGTGCGGGAATACTGAGTGGGAGAAAGTCTTATTCCTGTCCCAGGCCAATTAGACTGAGGAGTGTTTGATTGATTCCCTCGATGTGAATTAAGACACAAATGAGGGCAAAATACCATTAGGGAGTGAGACTTTATTATTGGTCACACAACGGGGAGGGAAGCTGTGAGAGGAAAGTTAGAAACAGGAAAGGGGGATAGTTAGAAGTAAGCAGGATTTGGTATGCCAAAGCAGAGATTGTGACCACCATTGATCCAGATGATCCGAAGTCCTGTAGAAGGGGGATAGTCATCACCATAGGTCTGGCAGTGTTCCGATGATTCATAGTCATGTAGAAACTGGGATAGTCATTGCCATGGGCCTAGCAGCATTCTGATGATCCACAGTCATCTTTTTTTTTTTGCTGATGGGTGTGCACACCGTGCTCTGGACACTGGTCCTTTTTCTGGGGCTCTGTCAGGGTGCTGATTGATCAGTTTCCCTGGAGTTGAGCAATTCCCAGCCTGATGATCTTGGCAGCTGGAGGGATGTCAATTGTTATCTAGCAGATGGGGGACAATGATGCCTCGTTATCTCAGCAGCTAGACGATTTCCATGGCTAGAGGCATCCTGTGGCTCAGCAAGCTCTGAGACAATCAAGCACACCTTTGCCCCACAGCAAGCCATCGAGGCCAGGCAATGCTGAAATTTCTTCTTCATTTCTTACAGGTCCCTTACAGTTCCTTAGTGGGGTGGGGAGAGGAAAGAAAACTCAGCACTGTCTTGTAGTGTAACTCCCTCTTTGGGGATTATTTGTCCTTTGAAGAAGTCTTGGCCTTTACTCAGCCAACTCAGATGCTGCTGCAAGCACAGAGTTAGCAGAGGACGATAAAATACTTGCCTCCATCTCTCACCCTTTCAAAGCACTGTTTGTGGGTTGCAGGCTAACTTTAATGTCATTCAGTACCCTATGATATTGTGACATTTGGGTTTTATGATAGTTACCAATGTAAAAATTTGAATAGCATCGCAGTCTACTACTAACTTGAAAGCTTTTTAATTTTTTCCCTTTAGTTACACATTTTCCACATTTCCACATTTTCCCCATAGGGTACAATACTGTAAGTTTCATTTTAATCTCCTCTAATCCATTCAAAGCAAGGTGTTACTGAGCCATTCAAATTGAAAATCTGGTTCCCTGAAGTCAGTGGTTGTGGGTCAGATAAGTCTTAAATGGTCTGAACTGAACTTTGTGGATGTCCTTTTTCTTCAGTATTGTCGAAGGTGCTAACTTCAGAAGCTTCTTTAAGTGTGTAAAGTTATGTGGGTTCAACACAGACCCACAATCCATGGAAAAAGGTACCTTGAGTCCTTTACAAAGGAACTGTGAGCATGGGATAGTGAAACATTAAACTTCCACTTAGATTCAGATTCAAATGAAGGTATAAGGGGATTTCTCCCTTAATTGTAACTTGAAAAATTTAGTGTCTGTATGTTCAGCCTCAGGCTGTGGCTGCTACATCATTTACTTAGAACAAATCAAATCAGTGTGCTGGTTTTTACCCAGCTTGTTAGCTTGGTGGCTATGGGATATATTTTATTTATTTTCAGAATTATTATTAAAATTTAATGTTAAATAAAGAGAGAGGGGAAAGTATTATTTCTTAGTCTGTAATTGGGGTGTGATTTAATAGTTGTGCATTATTTCTTTAGCTGTGCAGTGTGAGAGGAAACCTATTGAAGTGTCACGAGAAAAACCTTCAAACTGTGCAGCTTCTACAGAAAAGATCTACATACGGAAAGATCTTCGAAGTCCTTTAGCTGCAACCCCAACTTTTGTAACAGACAATGAAACAGCAAGGTATGTGAATTGTGCTAGGAAGTGGCTATTTCTTCCTTCTGAAACAGGAAAATTCAGTTTTAAAATGAAATAAAATAAAAATCTGTGCTGTTTTCTGTCAGGTCAACAGGTCTGCTGGAGTCGGGAATGTTTGTTAACATTCATCCATCTGCAATAAAAAGTGAGCCCACTGTGCTGATGACTCCAGATAAGGTGTGTGATGACATGACTGCTGTATTAAGTAGGGCTGATGGCTGTAATTGTGTATGTAGGGAGGGAAAGGTGTTCTGTTGTACTTCTGCTCAATTCATTTTTAAAACACTCCTTTACAATACTAGTCAGTGTTGCAAATGCCTTCTCTTCACAGGAATGCTTTGAGCCTCACATAGTAAAAATACTAAAACCACTACAAAGTAAATGTCCTTCTGTCCTGGGTTGCAGTGGGGGGGGGTATCCATGGTATGTATTCTATTATCATCTCCACAAGCTGTTAAAGCAGGTGGGGCAGTGACCGTTATCACCTTGTCCCTCCTCAGGGCAATCACGATGGCTCCCTCAGGGGCTGTCTCTGATTAATGGGCTGTCAAGGACCCATGCAGGACACATCCTCCCAGTGATCCTCATCACCTTGTCCCGTGGTGAGGTGACTCACCCCAGGG